CAAGCACCACAGGGGAGAGTCGAGATGAGTAGTATGCAACAGGCCGGAAATTAGAGCCATGCTTCTGCACCAAGATGCCCGTTGCAAAGCCCCCCTTCTCATGGACGTGCAGGTGAAACGGCTGATGGTAATCAGGTAGACCCAGGGCGGGAGCCGATGTGAGGGCTCGCTTTAAGTCCTGAAAGGCAGTGTGCATGTCCTCAGACCATTGAACAATGTTAGGGGCAGCCTGCAGAGTGGCAGCACGCAGGACAGAATCCATCGCAGCATACTCAAAAATCCAGTGTCTGCAATAATTTGCCATGCCCAAGAAGGAAAGCATGTCCTTCTTTGTGCGAGGTGGTGGTACTTTGTTCAACAGACAAATCCTTGCTGGCGAGAGGAGACGGTGTCCATCCCTCAGAATGTGACCCAAATACGTGACCTCAGTCTGGCAGTATTGCAACTTGGCCAGGGATGCTCTGTGTCCGCATTCAGAAAGTCTTTTCATGAGCAGAATGGAGTCGATGCGACAGGCGTCTTTATTGGGAGAAGCTAACAACAGGTCATCTGCATACTGAAGCAAGGTACTACCTCCTGTCAGGACCAAAGTGTCCAGATCTCTCCTCACAGCTGCTGCATACACTGTCGGAGATTCAACAAACCCCTGTGGGAGGCGCGTGTATGTGATTTGTTTTCCTTTAAAAGTAAATGCAAACAGATACTGGCTGTCTGGATGCAGAGGAACAGAGAAAAATGCTGAACATAAATCAATCACTGTGTAGTACTTAGAGTCCGGGGGCAGAGAAGCTAAAATCGAATTGGTGTCCGGCACAATTGGAGCTGTCGGAATGACAATAGCATTAATAGCTTGCAAATCTTGGACAAAGCGCCACTCATCAGGGCGATTGTGTTTAGGTATGGGTAGAATTGGAGTATTACAGGGACTAGTTGTGTAAATTAACACGCCCTGATCAAGCAAAGATTGGATGACTCCTTCAATCCCCAAAATGGCTCTATGGGGCAAATTGTACTGTCTGATAGCTGGCAATCTGGCGTTGGCTTTAAGTGTTACTCGATGTGGAGGCGCTGAGGCAACAAAACCAACATGGTTCTTGTGATATGCCCATAATGTAGCCGGGACTTCTGAAAAATCTGAGGGGGGGCCATACTCTGTGGGGGGGTTTGGTTGTAAATGAAGGAAGGTGCTTTGGGGAAGAGCAATTGGCTCCGCGAGACGTAGCAGGAAATGCTCCCCTCCAAAGTTAATTACGTTAGGTGCGTGTGTGTGTGAGAGAGGGGAAAGTGAGGCTTCCAGCTGGGCCTGGCAGCGGGCTGCCATGGCCCCCACCTCCTTTGGGTTACTGCCTGGCGTAACAGCCACCGTTATGTAGGGGAGGGTTTCTTCAAGATAAAAGCTTTGTTGTGAGGGTGTTAGCCTGAGGGGTAATACACATCCTTGTCGGGCAATGAACAAATATTGTTCACTTGTCAACCGATCTGATTTGTTGCAAAAACCTCTTACTGATTGCGCGTAGTCATCTGACGGATTAAAGGCTGCTGTGCAATGACAATTCAACACAGGTCGCATAAGAGACATTAAAGACGCACAAACCGGAGAAATGCTAGCAATCTTCTGAATCCCTGTTGTGGAGAAAACAGAAATCATGTTGAAATCTGGAAATGACCAACAATAAAGGTTGTCTCGCGATGATTGAATGAATTGGACTGCCTGATAGACCTTACTGTCAGGAATTGTCAAAAACAATCCGTCTGAAGTGCAATGTATTGTTGCCTGTAATTTACATAGTAAGTCCCTGCCCATTAAATTAATAGGACTTCCATCTGAAATAATGAAAGAGTGTTGCACGTTTGATCCATTAATTGAAACATTAGTGTTCTCTGAAATGGGTTCGGACATAGAAATTCCAGCAACACCGATAGTTGTGACAAATGTATTGGTTGCTTCACACACTTTCTCCTTAGTACGCACGGCAGACAAGGTGGCTCCGCTGTCAATCAAAATATCTACAGCCGTTCCACTAAAATCAACGGGCATAATCGGATCTTCACGCGGGTTATTGGAAAGGCGAATTGTTGCTGCTTGAATGGGGAAATGCTGTGAATCTGATCCTATATCTTCTGTCTGTCATACCGTGGAGGCTGCATTAATGCCAGATGTCCGGACTGCTGGGGAAGGGTAGGGGGAAGGGCGGGCTGGGAAAAGGGGGGCTGGGTGAGGGGGGGCTGTGTAAGGGGGGGCTGTGTGTGCTGCTGGACCCCCCACCGCTTACCACACTGTCCTGCCCAGTGATCCGTTGCTCCGCAAACATGACATGGCATCAACTTTTTGGGATTTTTGTTCTGCTGCTGTCTGCTCTTATTATGATAATCCTGTGATCTCTCCTGATTTTGATACTGCTGGGTGTGGTTTTGTCCCTGAGTTTGATAAGCCTGGGTGTTTTGAGGAAATTGTTGAAGCAGTTGTGAAATTCTGGTGGTAAGGAAAATTTGGCTCCTATGCAGGGCACGCATTGTGGCGATAGTCATTTTCCAAGATTTAATTTGCCAATCGGGGGTCGACATCATGTACGCCTGAGCTGTCTCTGGGATTAAATTATGTAACAAGGTCTGTATGGCAAACAAATCATTACCCTCTCTTTTAATTCCCGCATTATTGTCCCATACTGTCATGAAACGCTGGATAAATTCTGGGACATTTTCTGCTGGGTCTTGTACACAAGCCGTCACTTGGGAGAAATCTGTGTGAGTTTTAGCGCATGCTCTGATAGCCAATGCAGCGACGTTTTGTATCCACATGTCTCGCGTCTGTGTCGTGGGCCAGTCCCCTGCGGCCGTACACTCAGGAAATTTAAACTCGTCTCTGCACGTGGGCCAATCTGCTTTGTATGTTAAGATTATCAGCTGTTTAACATCATGAACCAAACAGTTATAAACTGAACAAACATTAGTCAACCATGACAGATACTCATCTGGACTTTTAGTGGGACTGGGAGCGTGGTTAGTGACATCAATGACCTCAGCGGGTGTCCAGGGTTTGCAAACTGGAACATCTCCTATCAGAATTTTCGGGGCGGTCACACTTTCTTCAGAATTATTATCCTGAGATGTTTGCATTGTCGTGTACATTTTACACTGGACATGTTTTGGAAAACTGGTGCCGTACGGCGAACCTGGGTAATCTTGTAAGAGGAGTGGCGGAGTGCGAGGAGTGGGGGTCAATAGCGGACTGCCATGTGAAACATTCCCCTCCCCCGCTGCTGCCCTCTGCTCGGCGTGTGCCGATTCTAATTCTCTATATTGTCCTGTCTGATATCTCAAACCATTTTTATTCATGATAGCTTCAGCTGTCATTAACAGATCATCATCGGAGTTTCTCGCAACGGGATTTGAGAGTTCTGTCGCGGGAATTATTTTCGTACAGAGAGATACAGCCTGCTTTCCGTCCAACAGCCCTGCGTCTGTCAAAATACAAATGAGCTGAGATGGGGTTGGAGTTTTGCCACTTCTTTTAATCCAATCATAAATTACTGATTTTGCAATGTCTGGAACATTCTCACCGTGTCTTTCCCTGAATCTGGACATGTTTTCTGATCTTACATCAGCCTCTAGGCTAAGCAAATTACAACTTTTTGCACATTGAGAAACTTTATCAATCAGCGCCTTGAGCTCAATGGAGCCTCGCTCGCTGCCAACAGATTTTGCATTCTTCCGCTCCTCATAACCCCTTTTCTCTGCTATAGTCATCCAAGCTTTCACACATTCTGTCATGTATTTCTGATCCCATGAAAAATTTGAATTATCTTCCACCAGTTTAAATGCCTGCCACAACACGGCCATATCAAAACTACCTGTAAGAGGCCAATCAAATTGAATCAATCCTTTCTGATTAATCTGTTGTGAGTGTTCGCAAAGTAACGATGTAAACGGCATAACTTTAGACCAATCCAAAGTTCTTCCGACAATTCCAGACGGCATGTTTGGAGAAAACAAATGCGTGTACTGGTTTTCTGCAATTGTTTTTTTTTTAAGTGTCTTTGTGTGTGAAATCGCTTTCCTCTTACCAACTGAATCGTTTGTGGAGGCAGTATTACCCATGTTTAACGGTTAGTACAATAAAACAAACACTGCAATTAGACAAACAAACATGTACTCGCAACAAAATCAGCACCCTGGCCAAAAAATCATCCAGTTTAATTTAGTCCGAAATTACGGAAACCTCAACGGGAGCACTGAAATATCTGTTTAATATGGGCTCTTCTCAGCCATATTTACTAGTAATCTGTTGATGAGCAATAAACTACCTTATTCTCAATCAAAACCACTATGCAAATGTAGTGGTAAAACTGCTCAACCGACCGAGAGCAGAGATTTTTTTAATTAATTCAGTACTTTTTAAAAAAAAATTTTTTTTAAACAACAGCCAATTCAATAATCCGTTAGTTTATTAAACACAGTGTGAATGTAATATTCTGCCATCACCCTTCCCATTTAATAGCTAAATTTAAATCTTGAGCTCATGGTGTGATTAGCAAAAAATACAAGTCTGTGTTCTTAAACATTACTCGTGTGCCGTTCACCACAGGGGGGAGGGGAATTCACCCTCCCTCGTGCAGGCTTGAGCAGACACCCGAAAACGGATTGGTCTGATTTAACCCGTTGAAATCTCCAGAATTCGGCAATTTGTTTCAATTACAAATCCTCACATTGCTTTTTGAAACAGAGGTTCCACCTTGCTGATGCTTTCCTTAAGGTCTCTCCGAATATTTGCAGTGTGTGATTGTCCAGTAATTTAATTCTAGAAACCACACACAGCGGAAATCGTTAAAAGTCGATGTTCCGAGGTTATTTATTAGCCCCAAATATTCTTATTGTTTTATACATGAGCTGTGCTTGCTTTTGTTAGCACTTGCCCCAGCAGCAATCACAGGAAAAACCGGCCAGGATAAAATCCCCTTGTGACACCGATTTCTCAGGTTATGATTAAGCCTTCAGATGTACATAGTGGAGAGACCAAAACAAATTGCACTCGCGCAGTTTCACAGGTAATTTTGATACCGTCAATCACAGAGTCTGGTAAGGCAGTTGTTCAAATAGATTTGAAAAAAGCACTTACCAGTCTTCTGAAGAAATGTCGGTACTGTTCGTAGACACCAATTGTGAAGTTAAACTTCCGTTGTTGCAATGTTGAGGTAGAATGAAGGAGTCTGGAACGTCGTTAGCCAAAGCACTGAGAGTTTTATTGAACACAGTACATTAATACATACGGCCGGGAGATCATCTTAGTTTCCCACCGTCCCGTGGTCTACCATGATCATCTCTGGCCCAAAAGCCCCAAAGCACCCAGCAACACGAGGAGAGGCGGGCCCACAGAAGCCCGCGTTTACCTAATCAATAGCAAATGGGAGACAATAATCTACGTGTCTCAAGGAAACGCAGACAAGCCTGAAACCTTCCCCCCACAGGATATGGGAGAAGCGTTTGACCTGTGACCTCAACTTACAGAGGAGTTTTTGACTGATACTACAAGCAGATGTTTGCAGTATCACAGATTCTAAGAAACCATAAGAAACTCTATAAACAGATCAGATTAAAATATTCTCTTACAGAAACATCTTTCGTCAAATGAAGGTCTTGCTTCTCGTCTTCTGCCTCGGAAAACCTCTTCTGCCTCTCCCTCGGTATTGTGAGCGGCCAGCATTCTGCGTAGCTTGCGCTGTGTCTGTGAGTCCGTTGAGAAAGGCATTATCTGAGGTGTGTCCCCCAAACACCTGCTTGGGCATCGGGTTTGTTTATCCCGCTGTTGTCCCCATCTACTTGGGGCTGATGGGGGTGGCGAGCTTGGTGGTTGAGGTGGGCTAGCCGGATTGCCAGGGTTGTACCCCGGGGGAGGGAAAGGATACCCAGTCGAGGAGAGGTCATTCAGACCTGCAATGGAAGGACACAGAGATGTCTGGGGTTTACATGGTTTTGGAAATAATTTATTTTCCTTCTTTTCTTCACATTCATCTTCAACCTTAATATTTTCTTTAATGCCCCAGGCCAACTGCCTTCTTTTACAGCATTCCGCTTCATCCTCCTAGTATTATAAACACTTTCTATGAGTGTCAAGCTCCTCTAGATCTTTCATTTTAATTGTGTCTTTACTCTTCATTCCCTCCTCATGTATTTGTAATTTATCCCTCAGGTTTTTTATTTTTATTTTTGCTGAAGGAACTTCCCTTTGGAAATCCGAACATTTCCGTCCAGATACTTAATTTAGACAGACTGTCTTCACCATGTTTTGCCCGCATGACATCTATAATCGGACCCTCGGGAGGGTGTAACAGCCCCCCACTCTGCTTTGATCCCATGGCAAAGCTGCTAAGTGTTTACTCTAAACACCCCGTGTTATCAAACACTAACTTTTCACCCGTCGGTGATTGTGATATTTGTTCTTCAGTAAAAATCACACAAAAACTGATCGTAAACCCAGGCTACGACGGATAGTCTCAAATATCCTACCTTGAGAAATCCTTCTTATAAATGTCATGGGGTTTTAATTTACGTTTTAACTTTAAACAATTTAGACACTGTACATCTCACCGAGTATTTGGAAAGCCGTTTGAGTTCGTTGGATCTCGTGAAGTCAATCGGTTTCACCCCGACGCTGGTCCTCTCGTCCCGTACGTTTTCTGTCAAGGTAGAGGAGAATCCGAGGATCCCGGTGCGACCACCAGCGTCCGCAGGTGTCCCCAATCGACAAGTCAGAGATCCTGCCGACAACGCCAATTTGATATGGAAATCTTAGACCTAGTCAATACTGTGGAGATACACAAGTCAGAAATATCAAACAATAAATGGTGAAACAGACAGAGTTGTCTTTCCGGTTATTTATTTGAATATTCAAAGACACAGGTCTCACAGAACACAGAGTATCCTTAGAGAGTGCGCGCAGAGTGAAAGATGCATACAGGTTATATAGGATTTTGTCAGTTCAACAACATTCCGTCACTTATTAGGAGGGGCCCTGGCAGGAGAGATAAGCTTTCCAAAGGAACTGAAACTGTCAATCACTAATAGATTGAACCAGGGGCCTGTTCAGCAAGAGGGAAGTGAGGAAACTTGTCAGCAGCAGATGGAGGGCTAAGAAATGGGGAACTTGATTATAAGACAGGGAAACTAACAGGAACTTGCCCATTGCCCTGCGCTTGGTACCCAGCCCCCTCATCAAGTTCAGACCTTAGATGACCTTAAATGTCACTTTCCAGGGAGGCAAAGGACATGAACTAAAACACATCACCCAGACCTTACTTCGACGTTTTTAAAGGTCATGAGTGTCAATACATCATTACAGACACTGTTGCAAAATGCTGACAGAGGTTATAAGCTGAAATACATTATTATAGGAACTGCTGAAAGTGCTAACAGAGGTTATAAGCTGAAATACATTATTATAGGAACTGCTGAAAGTGCTAACAGAGGTTACAAGCAAAACACATCATTCTAGGAACTGCAATTGATGTGTCCATGTAAGGTACAATATAAAGTCTGCACTATAAGAAAACTTTAAACTACATATATGTAAAGTTTGCCATTACAGGTTCCTCAACAGTGCATTACAAGACATCTATCAATATGTGTGTATACCTCCACCATAAAACTGTCAAATTCTGCACATTTTTTATACTATATGTAAGAGAATATTTTAATCTGATCTTGATTATAGAGCTTCTTATTGTTTCTTAGAATCTGTGATACTGCAAACATCTGTTTGTAGTATCAGTCAAAAACTCCTCTGTAGGTTGAGGTCACAGGTCAAACGCTTCTCCTATATCCTGTGGGGGAAGGGTCCAGGCCTGCCTGCATTTCGTGAGACAAGCAGATTATTGTCTCACATCTGCTATTGATTAGGTAAACGCGGGCTTCTGAGAGCCCGCCTCTCCTCATGTTGCTGCCTGCTGTGGTTCCTTTGGGTTCAGAGATGATTTGGTGGTTGCACAGGACAGTGTGAAACTAAGTGACCTCCCGGCTGTATTAATGTACTGTGTTTAATAAACTCTCAGTGCTTTGGCTAACGACGTTCCAGACTCCTTCATTCCACCTCAACATTGCAACAACAGAAGTTTTAACTTCACACTATCTACATACATAAGAGTATAATTAATGTGTATAATATCAGTTAAAATAAGTGCTTCAACATACAGTAGTTAACATTGCAGGAAAGCAATATATTAGACGTTAAGTACTTTGTCAGGCTTAATATTTATCTTTAGATAGATACCCCTAAAGCTTTTTTCTTATTTAAAAGAAGACCTTAATCTAAAGTATTATTTAATGTTTAAATAAAGGTTGATTTGTTTTTCTGTTTTGCACCTCCTCCTATTAATATATTTGTACATCCTGCACTAAACTGTTTTATTGTAGAGATCACTTATAGTATCTTCTTGATTTTTTATATTCTATATTTCTATCATTGACCTTCTACTTTCCCCCTATATGTATGCACTCTTAATTTATTTTATCAAATATAACACATAAAAACAATAATTCAATAACGTTCTTTAACCACTAGGCGTTGCACACAAGGTACACACAGCCATAATAACTTTGTATTATTAGTGTAGGACACTTATGTATGTACAACATCTGAAGATGTAGTTTTATTCATGTGTTCACATAATTTTACAGCATATTGCTATACTATTTCAGACTCAGTATTTACATTCTTATATTCAAAGAAAATCAGTAATATCTTTAAAAACTACAAGTCCTTTTGATAACACTTTATATTAAGGTACACAAATTAACCATCAACTAGTTGTTAATTAGCATGCATATTAGCAGTATAATGGCTCTTTATTAGTCATTATACAACACTTATTAATGCCTTATTCTACATGACCATATTCTACAAGTAATAAGCCATTAGTTGAGAGTTTTTCCTCAATAACCCTCTAATTAGTGCTTATTTATTGCAAGTAAGGAAGTTGTTGTCCATTAGTTTTGGTCTTAATATACGCTGCTCAATATGGGCCTAATAAGGCAGTAGTAGCACAAGAATAGTAATTCTCCCATAATAACACTTAACAAATATGATCTATTCTTATGGAACAAGACATGAAACTATAAGTGTTAATTGTGTCTAAATAACTCAAAATGAGGTATTTATATTTTATAATATGTTTTGGGGTATTGACAGTTCAGCTACCAATAGCAAGGTGATATTGACCTGTATGTTTCATATTTGCCCATTTATATTTTTGTAAAATGTGTACTGAAGGTTAGTTAGACCCGGGTACAGGAAGTAGGAGAACGTGAACTACACTGCTACTAATTTTCCCTTTGCAACCTGAAGAGTAAAAGGGTCAAGTCCGTCAGAAAGCAATGACTGTAAGTGTAAGTGTGAACCTTACACTTACACTCTAAGGATTAGTAACATGTATTGTGTTTATGTGATGACATGTGGAGATGTTTAAACTCAATGAGAAAATGCGTTAGCATTCGCGCTAGTGTTAGCATACACGGTAGCGTTAGCATACATGCTAGCGTTAGCCATACTAGCCTGTATACATGCTTATTGTACAGCTAGCATTAGCTATATTTACCTTGTTTACACTAAGCGGTCCTAATGTGTTCATCTGTGTATGTTACACTTGCATGTATGAGATCATTAAGTGCCTTGTAACTTATTTTTTTTATAGTTTCACTCCGTTTGAATGTCAGTGGACTGCAAATAAGTCAATAAAGGAGCATGGCTGCTCATTCCCTGGCTCTCAAAAGAGTTTGGCTGGCTGTTTAATCTATGTTCACACTGAGACAACACAGAGAGAGAACAGTACACCTATTGTGTAAGAACATACAAGCAGGTCACACAGTATGATCACAAATACATAAACTCTGTTAAAAATCAGTTTTTATTAAAAAGTACAGGCTGCATGTGTGTTCTCAGCCTTAGAGAAACTTGACATGTTTTGGTACATGTATGTGTCTGAACCTCTCTTCAGTGGTTCAATAATATAACAGATATTTCAACGTGTGCCTACTTTGTTCATGTACTGTTGAGGTTAATTGCAGTAGTTGTGTGCTATAATGTATTTACAAAGTGTGAAGAGGAGGCAACTTTAGAATAGGGAACCTGTTCAGGTCAATTAGAGTCAAACTACTAGCTTATTGGTTATGAGCAATACTTTACTTTAGAATAGGGAACATATTCTTAGATAGAAATACCTAATTAGAGTCAAACTACTAGCTTATTGGTTATGAACAAGACCACTTTAGAATAGGGAACATATTTTTAGATAGAAATACCTAATTAGAGTCAAACTACTAGCTTATTGGTTATGAACAAGACCACTTTAGAATAGGGAACATATTTTTAGATAGAAATACCTAATTAGAGTCAAACTACTAGCTTATTGGTTATGAACAAGACTTCACTTTAAAATAGGGAACATGTTCTTAGATATAAATAGCTAATTTTGAGTTGTTTAGACTTAATTAACACTTGTAGTTCTCATTCATAACACTCCGTTCGATGTCTCACTATGGGATGCGCCTCATCGCGGAGCAAACAGAAGCATCAATCTCATTACGCCAATCCTGATTGGCTGGTGATCTTGACGTCAGCGTCAGGGAAATCACCCCCTATAAGTAGCTTGCGCCACGACGCATGCGCCATTCAAACACCTCTTCTCGCTTCAGAGCACATCTCTATGGTAGCCGGACAAGCTTAACGGTCCACAGACTGAACCCAAATATCCATTTCGGTCGACGGGCGCTCGCCGGCTACTCCTTCTGCTTCGCAGGAAGACGGTAATTACTAACGCTAGTTATTGTTGAAATCGACCTCGCCGCTCTCTTTCCCCGGAAAGTGAGCTAGGTCTGACTTTTTCAAGCTAACGTTAGCTTGCTCCCTCACTACCGACACCACGGTAGCGAGGACGTTTTTTATTTTCTCTTCCCCACGGAGGAGGAAAGGATTAAAAGGAGCATACTGCCACACCAGTCAGTATTCTCCGGGAATAAAAGACCCACACCGTCCTTTTCTCCGGATTAAGGACAGGGTGGTAACCTCTTTTTCTCCCAACCTACCTGTTGAGAGCGGGTCCTCTCCACGCCACGAGGCGAACAAGATGGACGCCCCTCTCCCTCACACCAGAGGAGTCAGGGACTCGGTGGCTCGACTCTGCGGCTGCGGGTTGAAGATCTCGGGCACAGACACACACCAGGTCTGCTCGTCCTGCCTCGGGCTGGAACACGCCCGAGGCGCTATCGACAACCCCGGCTCATGCGGACATTGTGTCCGCTTCACCGTAAAGAGCCTCCGCCGACGGCTAGCACGCCAAGCTAGCCTGTCGGAGCAGGACCCCCCCATGTCCACTGACCTGCCGGCCGGCAGTCAAGACGCGGGGGCATCCGCCACAGAGAGTGAACCCCTCTCCATGTCGGTCTGGGGCTCAGTATCTGCGATGGCCGCAGAACCGGATTCCCGCGCCCTGGCAGGCCGGGACCCGGTGACGGCAAGACACGCGGGAACGGGACCCCACGCTTTATCGAGCTGGGGCTCCCGGTTAGACCTCACCATGGTCTCACCCGCGGAGGATGTCCTCGAGCTGAACTACGACGAGGACGAAGAGGACGCCTCGGTGTTCCTCCTGTCCGAGTCGGATGAACATGAAGAGGACATCTTCATGTCATCAGCTCAGGCTGCAAAGCCTGGAGCGAGGGCTGCTCTCCCAGACGATAGCACACCAGCTTCGCCCTGTCTGAGCAT